AACCGCGAGATCATGACCTGAGCCCAAGTCAGACACTTCATCAACTGACCCACCCAAGCACCCCGAAACTTTCAAGTTTGGGGATGAGATCTATATGGATATTAAAAAGAAATTGTGTTTTCTTTATTTAGTGACAGTGAGGAGATTTTTCAGAATTGAAAGAGAAAGTTATATCTTCATTTAGTTGACCTGGAGCCGTAAACCATTTTGTCCCATGAAGAATTAAATCAATTTACACTGAGAAGAACCACATAGAGATAAAAAAACAAAGAGTCTTGGTATCCATGCATGCAATCTCCATGTATGAGGGCATCTGGGTGGCTCAGTCGGTTAAGCATCCAACTCTTGATTTCAGCTTGTCACAATCCCACAGTTTGTGGGTTTAAGCCACACATTGGGTCTGTGATGATAGCATGGAGCCTGCTTGGGATTCTCTCTCTCTCTCTCTCTCTCTCCCCCCCTTCCCCTCGCCCACTCATGCTCTCTCTCCCTCAAAATAAATAAATAAACTTAAAAAAAAAACCTTGATATTATGAAAAGGTAAGCAATAGTAATCTACACATACTTTTATATGTAGATTTTTATTTATATAGAAGTATTGAGCACTCAGTATATGATAAGCATTGCACTGTGTACTAGCTGATTGGCCTTCTGGGCTGCATTTTGGCTACATGTGTTTTAAAATCTGTCTTTTGTACACTCAGTAGGTTATGGTTGTTAGCAACATTTCTGTCACACTGTTTTAGGAAATGTTGGTCAGTGTTATTCTTTTATTTTTAACAGTATGATTAAAAATCCGGTGTTTAAAAATTTATGCTCTGGGGTGCCTGGGTGGCTCAGTTGGATGAGCTCAGGTCATGATCTGACCTGAGTTCGAAGTCTGAGTAGGGCTCTGTGCTGACAGCTTGGAACCTGGAGCCTGCTTCAGATTCTGTGTCTTCCTCTCTGCCCCTCCCTGGCTTGTGCTCTTTCTCTCTCTCTCTCTCTCTCTCTCAAAAATAAACATACATTAAAAAAATTTTTTTTTTAATTTATGCTCAAATTGTGGGTCCCAGAGAAAGTTTTAAAAAGAATTGAAGTAAATAATATTATGTGTTAACTAAAACATTGAGAAGGATTTACAAATAACTACCAAACTATGGTGGAGCTTATAGAAATCAAAGAACAAGTTAAGACTGGAAATGACCAAACTATTTGAAGAAATCAATACATATTATATAGACAAATCATTCCTGTGGCTTTCCTGGTTACATGTCTTTGTATTCTTATGAGAGGCCATTTTTATGGCTCTTGAAAGTATTCACTTAGTTAAGAAGCATTTGCTGGCACTTGTGTCTGGCTTAGTCAGTAGAGCATGTGACTCCAGATCCTTAGGGTCAAGAGTTCGAGTTCCACTTTGGGTATAGAGATTACTTAAAACAAACAAACAAACAAAAAAACAAAACCAAAAAAAGAAGCAGCAGCACTTGCTAAATTAGTAACTGGAGATCCTAGAAAGCAAGGTGCCAAAGAAAAGAAAAGTTTTAATATGTGTTCTCCTTCAGATATTTTCTATTAGAACTATCTATCTATCTATCTATATATTTATATATATATATATATTTTTTTTGCTACCTTAATATTACAAAGCCTAGGGGCGCCTGGGTGGCTCAGTCGGTTGAGTGTCTGACTTTGGCTCAGGTCATGATCTCACAGTTTGTGGGTCCAAGCCCCGCATCAGGCTCTGTGCTGACCGCTTGCTCAGAGCCTGGAGACTGCTTCGGATTCTGTGTCTCCTTCTCTCTCTGCCCCTCCCCCGCTCACACTTTGTCTCAGTCTGTTTCTCAAAGATAAATAAATGTAAAAAACAATTTTTTAAAAAAATATTCCAAAGCCTATCAGTGTGATTCCAATTATCTTGTCTTATAGATAAGGAAAAATTTTACTTCAGTGCATCTGTCCTATGTGGAGCTGAAACACATGGGTCAGCAGCATCTGGGGCGGTATCCTGTTCATTTTCACCTGTGTGGGGACGTGGATCACAAGGGAGGGTACAGACACGCGACATTTGTGGATGGCTTGTCTATTCATCACAGCTTCTCAAGGTGCATCACTGTGCACGGAACAAATGGCCTGCTGGTACGTAGCCTCTTGTCACGTCGATGCATGTTGTCGGAAGCGTTAACTGTCTTCCATTGTCCCAACTTCTCAATTTGAGAGAAGTCGGCTCTTGTCCCGCATCCCTTACTCTCTCCTGCTTGTACTGAGAATTCCAATGTTTTCCTGTATTCTCTTAAGAGATCAATAAAACCTGACACTTGACTTTGCCCCTCCGGTGAAGATTAAAACGTCTCTTTGCGTTTGTACTGAGCATGCTACATAGATAGCCTCGTCACTAACACCACAGTCATTCGTGTTACCAGTGACATGATACACTTGTGTTTCTGCAGATAAAAGACACAATTGGATTTGACACACTGGGCCATTGTTTCTTTTTGGAAGATGGTATTGAACAGAGAAATACTTTGTTCCACAATCTGGGACTCCTCACCAAACCCGGCACCCTCCTCCCCACTGATAGGAATAATTCCATGTGCACTGCCATGCGAGAAAAAGTGTTTGGAAATTATGTCCCTGTGCCCGCCACGGACTGCATGTGAGTATCTGGCAGAGAGAAAACCTCATGTGTGGTGCTCAAGGCCTTTGACTCTGGGGAGAAGATGTTTTGGAGGACATTTTTAGCGGGCAGGATTTTTTCATTGACTGATGTTTAAATCACTTTAAAAAATGCCTTGCAGGGCTGTTTCGACTTTCTGGATTGCTCATCCCAACAATAACCTGATTAGTAATGCGGCTGCAGGCTCACAGGTAAGTAATATTAGATGCTTTCAGCTGTTTTGTATTCGTGTTTATAAGTGTTTTGGATATTATATGGATGTAATGTAACGTGTGACTGTCTTACTCAAGCATGGCTTTGTTTTCTGCTACTGCCTGTTTTGTTGAAAGGAGGATACAGTTGATGGTTCTTCTGTTTCTTCCAAATCATTCATGCCAGTTAGTATTTATGAGTGTGGTAAAACAGATGCCAAATGGAAGAAAAGAGTGGACTGATATGTCCACTGATATGTCCACTGATATATCTTAAATATGTGGGTTTATTGTACCTTCAGAGTGTATTTTTAGTGTGTCATTTGCAATCTTTCTGACTTCTATTTAAGTCATGTGTGTCCGAGTAACTGATCGTTTCAGGTTTTTTTTTTTTAATGTTTATTTATTATTGAGAGAGAGTCACACAGAGTACCAGTGGGGGAGGGGCAGAGAGAGAGGGAGACCCAGAATCCGAAAGCAGGATCCAGGCTCCGAGCTGTCAGCACAGAGCCCGATGTGAGGCTCAAACTCACGAATGGTGAGATCAGATGAAGTGAGAAGCTTAACTGACTGCACCACCCAGGCGCCCCTGATCATTTCAGTTTTTAATTCTGATGAACAAAGAAAGCCTTAGCTTTTCTTTATAGGAATGGATTATTCTGTAGAACATTATGACAGCGGTCATGCTGGTCAAAGGATATGTCTTTTTGTTAAATGCAGGGATCATCCACACTTAGGGGTTTTATCTCCTTGGCAAAGCAGGTCAACCCAACTCTGTACTTTATATTACTATGTGCCTTGAATTATTTCAGAGCCACGCACACACACAAGTATAACTCAAGACAATAAGTGAACTATTTTTGGATGGCAGAAATAATTCCTGAAGAAAGCTGGAGAAATTTACATTCATAATTGAGTGTGATTTAAAACTGTTAGCTTATAATATAAAAGTGAATCCTGAAGACGTTATACTATCATGATTATATCTGTGCTGAAAACCACAGTAGGGAAATAGGAGCTTTACACCAACACCTAAATATTCATATTTATATATCGTGACTATTAAAATTAAATAATTAAATTAAAGACATACCTAGCATTGTTTCCCAGGACCAAGTGAAAGATAAGTTGAAGGAAGTATTTCTTCCCGATAACTAAAACACGGGCGTCTCTGGGTGATGGTGGAATTGACCTCTGCGATTTTCCTTAAAAACATAAAATGTAAAATTCTTACATGACAGGGTAGAGACCTGGGCAATTAATCGTTTCAGGTTTCATTCATTCATTCATTTTTCATCCGATGTTTGTTGAGCAATCTATCGGGGTTTGTGTTGAGAGTTCCTAATTAGAAGGGGGAGTTCTAGGGGTAAAGATGCGAGTTTGATGTGCAGCCTCAACCCGGGATCATCTTCTGACCTGTGGTACGTTTCAAGTGAACAGTGAAGATGAAAACAAGTTGCAAATAGTTGATGAAAAAACGTAAGGTGAGGCTGCCAGAAACCCTTCCTGGGGCTCGTGTGAGAAATGAAGAAGCGGGTCTCTTGTTTTCCACCCCGTGTTCGTTCTTCTTCCTTTTCGTTCTGTGAGTTCTTTCTTTTCTTTCTAGAGAAACTGTCCCGGCGAAGCTCATGTTTTGGCAAGGGTTTTCCTCCCAAAATAAATCAAACTCTTTCTTCTTGTACGTTTCCACTGCCTTTTTACAGAGCTCCCTTTACCTGTTTTGACACCACAGTGTTTAACAGGAAAGAGCAGCTACCCCCCATGTTGCCCCTTCCCCAGACTCCCGTTGCATCCTGGGAGCGTTCGCTTCTACCCTCCGCTTTTAAGGCCATGGTATAGAGCCTCCAGATCTTCTTCTGTGGTCTGTTTTGTGCCCCCAAAAGTAGAGGTGGCAAACACATTTTTTTCAGGGTAGTTCCTCTATCGTGGAAAAATGTTAAATGTTACCTTCATTTTTGTGTGTAGGTGTATATGCTTTCCACAATGCATCTCTCTGTGCTCCTGCAGAGCTTTGTAATTAATTGTAATGTAGTACCTAGTATGTATATTTTTGTTCTCTCTTTCTCCTTACACTCTGAATTTTTTGAGAATAGTCTTACTATACACCTGGCACACAGTGGGCTCTAAACAAATATTTGCCGAATTTGAATCTGTAGCATACTTTGGGACTGTATGTTTACGTTGGAACATCCCATTCAATCCACGTTCTTCTATGTGAAGCTGTTTTTAGCATTGGGCTGGTTTTTAATTAAAATGTAAAATAAAAGCACCTGGGTGGCTCAGTCAGTTAAGCTTCTGACTTAGGCTCAGGTCATCATCTCACAGTTCCCTGAGTTTGAGCCTTTCCTTGGGCTCTGTGCTGACAGCTCAGAGCCTGGAGCCGGCTTCAGATTCTGTGTCTCCCTCCCATTCTCTCTCTGCCCCTCCCCTGCTCATATGCTCTGTCTCTCAAAAATAAATCTTAAAAAAATTTTTTTAATGTAAAATAAAAAAAATGGTCATGGAGATTAATATCATTTCATTTTGACTTTTATAGCTCATTTTGAGTATCAAAGATGTTTAAACTGTTCTGCTGCTCCTGTTGAGGTCAGGAATACTGAAATTGAACAGACAGGATCCAGACTGAGACAGCATCCTGATTCATGCGTGTGGTGGTTTTTTTTTCTTTGGCAAAAATTTGCCTCGGGACAGGAAGGGCATTGGAGTTGTTTGAAAGAAGTCAGTGAGCTCTGCGTGTTGGCGGATAGTTGTTTAATGAATATGACTCATCTATTGATCAGGTTTGGAGGTAAACAGAAAAACCCTCATATTGCTAAAAGGCCGTGCTGTCCTGGTCACATGGAAGGCAGGCAGCCTTGTTTGGTTCTAACTCTGCATAACTTATTAAAGTAGATAACGATGGGAGAGTTATGTTTTGAAAATGAGTTTTGGCCTCAGCCATTTATTTCTGTCGAACACTGCAAGCAGAAGTAAATTTGTTTTTTAAAACATGATTATAATGGCTCTGAAAGTGCGTGCTAGGTGAGTGCACAAGTTTTTATAGTCCATTCTGAGCCTGAGACAATGAAAAATTACTGTTAAAAAGACTCATTTTTGGGGCGCCTGGGTGGCTCAGTCAGTCTAACTTTTGGTTTTGGCTCAGGTCATGATCTCATGGTTTTGTGGGTTTGAGCCCCATGTCAGGCTCTGCACTGACAGTGTGGAGCCTGCTTGGGATTCTCTTTCTCTCTCTCTCTCTCTCTCTCTCTTTCTCTTTCTCTCTCTCTCTCTCTGCCTTCCCTTGCTCATGCTGCCTCTTTCTCTCTCACTCTCAAAATAAATAAATAAACTTAAGAAAATTTTTTTAAAAAGATCCATTTTTGTTTCTGAAGCACTTAGTCTATTGAAGCCATTTCATAGGGTGGCTTTATAAAATAAGGCTTTTAATGATCTCACCCTTTTAATTACAGGATGCTGGAATATGGTATTTATTCCACAAGGAACCTACTGGAGAATCCAGTGGATTGCAGCTCTTAGCAAAACCAGAACTCACTCCGTTGGGTATATTTTATAACAACAGGGTCCATTCAAGTTTCAAGGTAGGTTCCTAGGCCTTAACAAAATGAGTTCATGTGACTTACAGGGTGAAGGATGGAATGCTGAGAAATACAAGTGAGAAATGTCAGTTTTAGGTAAAACCTGTCATCACAAAAAGTAATTTGTGATTAAAAAAGCAGACACAGGGGCGCCTGGGTGGCTCAGTCAGTTGAGTGTCTGACTTTAGCTCAGGTCATGATCTCGTGGTTGCTGGGTTCAAGCCCCACGTCTGGCTTTGCACTGGCAGTGCAGAGCCTGCTTCAGATTCTCTGTCTCCCTCTCTGTTCCTCCCCCTTTCACCCTCGCTGTCTCAAAAATAAACATTAAAGAAAAATTCTTAAAAAGGAAAGCAGACACATTCAGGATTACATACCGGATCCCATTTATACACACCCAGGCATATATACCAACACATGCATGTGCATACAATCTGAGTAACTACAATGATGGACTTGATCCCTGTGTCCTTGTCCCTTCCCTCACTCCTACCTTCCCCTCTTCACTCCTTCCCTCCCTCCTTCCCTCTCACCTTCTTTCCAATCGTTAGTACCTATTAGGGATGTACACATTAGATGATATGCTTCTGTGCGTTAAGAAGCATACTTCCTTTCTTCTCTCAGTTCACAGTGCTGGTAGAATGTCCTATTGGGCATTTCATACGAATTATGTGGTAAAATACTGTTTATGATATTTGGCCCAATTTAAAATGATACAGATCAACTAAAGCAAAAGCCATTTAGGAACACCGGTTTTCATGATATTTAGTATTTATTCCCACCCTCAAGTGATAAGTATTTGCCTCATGTTGTGCTTACAAGGCACTTGGGTATTTTCACTATGTAATATAGTGCCCAGATTCTTTACCCTGATGTGATCCACATCAAAGTTCAACAAATACTTCCCATTTACAATGCTGAGAGGATCCTGTAAAGACCTAAGTGTGCTATAATTTAAAGAGCTTAGCACCACTTAAACACTTGAGAGAGCAAAAAACCTTGGTCAGAAGCTGAGTAGTTGATTAAGGCCAGTAATTATTGAGAGTACCATTTCAAAGTGGAAATCCTTAAAATTTTCTAATGGTAGTGATATAAAAAAAATCCTATTCTAATTAACTTTTAATGTCATATACCAGAAGTACATGTAGTAATCTATTCTATTGATTAGAAAAATATCATATCTAAATAATGAGTGGATGATTAGGTTTTAAATTGTTTAATTTGGGACTGACTGTCCAGAATGATACTTTACAGCCAAGGGAAACAGAACCCTTGGGGTCCTCAGACAGTAACCTGTCATCTTTGGATAAGCTGTAAATATACCAACACTGACCTTTTTGCTTTGGTTGCTCATGACACCCGAATCTGCATCTGGCACAGGTCAGTCATGTCTGATTTCCAACTGACATTTGGCTGTCTCAGGGACACATCACTAAAATGTGTTCAAAACTCAAATCCTTATGTGTATCCCTAGACCCATTCCCATATCTCTGTCTCACTGAATGAAACCACCGGCCACCTGATTGCCCAAACAGAAAGATAGGAACCTTTATCGCTCCCTCTCCCTCACCCTTAGACGTTTTGTTCATTGCTAAGCAGTATCTACCTCATAAAGAATTCTCGGGGCGCCTGGGTGGCGCAGTCGGTTAAGCGTCCGACTTCAGCCAGGTCACGATCTCGCGGTCCGGGAGTTCGAGCCCCGCGTCAGGCTCTGGGCTGACGGCTCGGAGCCTGGAGCCTGTTTCCGATTCTGTGTCTCCCTCTCTCTCTGCCCCTCCCCTGTTCATGCTCTGTCTCTCTCTGTGCCAAAAATAAATAAACGTTGAAAAAAAAAAATTAAAAAAAAAAAAAAAAAACAAACAAACAATTCTTGCCGTATCCATTTTCCCCCATTACTACTGCCCAAGTCTCTGTCATCTTTGTTTTTCTTCTGGATTACCAGGGTCATGTCCTACCTTATCTCTTATCTCTCTTTTTGCCCCTTTCCCTTTCTGATCCATTATCCATCCTGTGGGTAGAGCATTCATTCTTAACGTGCGGTTAATTACATTGCCTTTATTAAAAGTCTCATTAAATGGACTCCAGCACATTGACTCTATGTTGTCCACCATTTGTTTCTCTTCAGCCTTCTTCCTTGCTTTCCCCTCCTCCATACATTTCCTGTTCATCCATCTAAGTCTCTTCTCAGATGTGCCCTGCTCTCCCTCATTTCCAGACTTTTTGTACCAACGATTTCCTTGAGTACTTTGCTCTGGGTCTTTCAGCTGCTTCCCACCCATGCCCCGCCACCCTTCATCCCAACCCATTCTTTTGTGTGGTTCGGTCCTCCCCATCCCTCATCGTTCAGCTTTAGGAGGTCACTGCTTTGAGGAGACCTTCCCTGAATCCTCTGTCTCCCCATCTATGAGGAAGGTCTCATTTGGTGCCTCTTCTTACATGCTGCTAAAGCATCATCTACTCACTTCATCACTGCTTATCATACAGGATGGTAATTGTTTCTTTAATTGCGTGTCTTTCTGCTATTGGATATGCCAACAACAGCAAAGACCATGGTTTCCTTGTTAATGCATCACGCTTGGTGCCTCCCACAAGGTAGGCACCAAGTAAATATTTGTTGAATGACTGAATACATAAAATTATAAAAATATCCAGAAAGGTAGTTGTTTTCATAAAACCTTTGCCTTGCTCTTCGCTCCTCTCCCTTCTCTTTGGTGGATGTGATAAGCTACAAGTAATTTTCATGAGTCATGAGAAGTATATCGATATAACTTAGGACTCATGTTCACTTCAGTCCCTTATTATATTTTCCAGGCTGGCTTATTTATTGACAAAGGTGTCAAAACAACCAATGCTAGTGCGGCAGACCCAAGAGAATACCTCTGTTTGGATAACAGCGCAAGGTAGAGTCTGTCCTTTTACGTTACATTCTGGCCCTATCTTGCCAAAACAAAACTTCCTGAGTTGTAAGTCATTGTGCTCTGTTCTCCAGTAACACATTTAAACTAAAGTTTTCAAAGCTTGTGGGAAGGCTTTGGGGAAACTTTTTTTTCTCCCCCTGCTGTTCTAGGTCCTGTGGCTGGTTTGTTTGTTTTAAAATATTATTGAGATGCCAGAGAAGTTGATACTTTCCCCTTTTTTCACCATTGTAAATTGATGTTAGAGAGGTATTCAGAAAGAGAAAGAAAAAGGAGAGAGAGGTGTTGAAAACAGGGTCTACATTTGGCCTAACATAGAACACGATTGATTGAAAAACAAGCTAAGACATTTTGGTGTAATTCCTGAAAACCAAGGCCTATCGAATTTATTGTTAGTGGTCAAAATGGAACATTGCATTGAAATGTATTTCACAGAGAAAGGTCTTGAACTTGATGAGCAAGCTAGTTTGGTTCAGTCCCATCGTCTCTGGGCTCTATGTTGCCCCCCTTTGTAACCGCAAAATGTGGTTGGGATAGGGAGAACATTTCAACAGAGTTCTTCTATGTGCTCTATAAGAGCCAAAATAAATAACATGTCTCCAATGGAAATAAAAGTTTCTGGAAAAGATGGCAACTTAAAGTCCTATTCAGCAGAAACTGCGTACGTGTTTTTTTCCTATACTTCAAGTTGATTGAGCAACTTAGTTTCTTTATTATTATTATTATTATTACTATTATTATTTTAATTTAATGTTTGTTTATTTTTGAGAAAGAGAGACAGAGTGCAAGCGGGGAAGGGGCAGAGAGAGAGACAGGCAGACAGACAGACAGACGGAATCTGAAGCAGGCTCCAGCTCTGAAATGCTGTCAGCACAGAGAGAATGACACAGGGCTCAAACTCACAGACTGCTAGATCATGACCTGAGCTAAAGTTGGACGCTTAGCAGACTGATCCACCCAGGCGCCCCACCAACTTATAGTTTCTAAAGGGTGCTAGGTTTAATAGGCTCTTTTGATAGATATTTAAGAAAAAGACACCAGGCCCTACTGTTCACAAGGGAATAAGATAGGATCCTCACTGTAGGTTGGTAAGTCCACTTAAGTGTGAGGCAAGATCTTTGTGACACAGTAATAAGGCACAAGGCCAGGAGAAAACTGGAGAAAGTACAGTTAGTAAAATTACTCATCAGGACTACTTAAAGGTCACGTTGAGCCTGAAATATTTTAAAGCAATGATCAGATGACATTTGAGAAACCAGGAAACTCTGGACGTTATTTAAATAAAACACAAGTTACTGGACACCTAATAGCTAAGCAAGATATGAAATGGGAAGATAGGAGATAAACTTTAAAAGAAAAAGGAGCATAGAGATGACAGTGGACTATGAACCAAGAAGAGGATATTAACTCGCAAAACAAAGAAATCTTTGCTGGCAGGACACGGCTGCTTTTTAAGAGTTTATTTTAACTGGTAGAACTAGTAATGTGTACTTTGCTTAGTATTAACAGAAAAATGCTTAAACACAACACAATTGATTTTCTCTTCCCTGCCTTAAAAAATTGGGTGTGTGTGTATGAATGGATGAATGAGAAAATATATTTCAGAAATTCATTGGTGCTTTAATCAGGCTTGACAGTAAAACAATTTATCCATAATGGCCTGAGAAGTTCTTTACTGGGTATGTGTATATATTATGATAATGGTAATTTTTTCTCTGCTCTTTATTATTTCTCTTACCAGTTTATAAATGCATACATAGTGGGAATTAGACTCCATTTAGAAGTTGTTACTGGAAAGAACTGATTATGGAAGATGAATAAGACATTTGGCAGTTGGTGTATATATTTAATTTTGTATAAACTCATGTGTAGAATATGCCCACGTACATTCATACAGTCCAGACATGAGTAAGAATGATAAAACACTAACACAATGAGTAATAAACCAGCCCATGAATTAAACATAAGGCTCTTGGGATCCAGAAGATATTTAGTCTCTACAACAAAGGGAAAGTTGACTCAACAGTTAATCAGATGAGCCTTTCCGTGTGTCTTCAAGATGTGAAATTATTGGCATCCAAAGATGGGAAATTGTAACCCAAGAAAGCTCTTGGTGTCAGATTGGGACGTTTCGTCTAAGGGAATGAAAGAGCACAGAAACCAGGTAGTATTTAAGGCCAAGGCCAATTAAGGGAGGTTGGAAAGTGCGCTGAAAGCTCATGAATGAGGATGGTGAAAAATTGGGAAAGTTAGCTATCGCCTACAGATCAAGTGGGAAAGAGGTTAGAAGTAAAGGGTATCCAAGCAAGCAGTCAACAATTGATGTATATGGATTGGAATTTCAGAAAAGGTGAGATGGCTGCAGCAGAGAATCAGTGTTGCTTTAGGATCCTTTTTTTCTTTTTTTAACTTTCTTGTAGAACATTGTGTAGTCTTCTTTCCAGAACTCTTCCATCTGCTTGATACTGCGTAATGACTGCAAAGCTGTTTGGCAGCAATCGCAATTACCAGAGAGTGGGTGATGGCCCAGAGTCAGACATTTCACCTATTAGGTCAGAGCTCTTTAGTGTAAGGGGTCATGTACACAATCTAAGGACGGGTATAAAGCTTCCAGACTGGTCTCCTATGGTCCATTCTCTACAGTCCTTTCACCAAGTAGCAGTGAGTGACCAGTTTATAAGAAAAAAGTGAAATCAGTTGTATCACTTCCTTGATTCCATGTTTCTGAAGACTGTCCGTCTCTCTCTCTCTCTCTCTCTCTCTCTCTCTCTCTCTCTCTCTCTCTATCCACCTGCTTTATTGAGGTATGACTACCATCTAAAAAGCTGTGTGTATTTAATGTATACATCTCAGGGAGTTTGGGGATAGGTATACACCCACGAAACCATCACCACCATCAAGGTCATATACATAGCCATCATCTCCCAAAGTTTTGTCACCTTCCTTTATTGTTATCATTAAAAAAATTTAAGAATATTTTTTATGTTTTTGTGGTAAGAACATTTACCCTAAGATCTATTGGCTTAGCAAATTTTAAGTGCACAATAGAGTATTATTAGCTAAGGCACTGTGCTGTATGATAGACCTCTAGAATTTATTTATATTGTATAACTAAAACATTGTACTCTTTGACCATCACCTGCCTTGTGTCCTGCTCTCCCTAGGCCCTCACATTGCCTGGCATATGCTCACCTCTCTGTCCTCTGCCCCATGCTTCTTACTCTCCAGCCAATTTATTTGTTCCTTGGCCAAGCTCACTCATGCCTAAGGACCTTCTCACTTGCTGTTTTCTGTGCATGTCATCTTCTCCCATGATAGCATCTACTGTGCCAGCAACTATGGTAATGACATTTGTGCAAATGGTATTTCCTGACTGCATGGTTTGAAAATCTCAGCCTGCTGAATTGGTTTTTGGAAAATTATCTAGTTGTTTCTCCCCCATCCTCACCCCCCAGCTTTGTAAAAATTAAGATAGAAATGATCTTTTTTAAAAAATAGGTGGCCTTGGGACGCCTGGATGGCTTCGTCAGTTGAGTGTCCTACTCTTGATTTCGGCTTAGGTCATGATCTCATGGTTCATGAGTTCGAGCCCCTTGTTGGCCTCTGTGCTGACAGTATGGACTCTGCTTAGGATTCTCTCTCTCTCTCTTTCAATAAACAAACATTTAAAAACCAGGTGGCTTTATAGAATTATTTATTTGATTTATATAGTGGTTTGACACCAATTTTTTTGACCTTTTCATTAAGGTCCTTGTAAGTGTTGTAGAAGGAAGAGAAAGAAGAAGTAAAATTCAGTCTTTGTAATTAACAAGTTAATTAAATACACTCTGTTTTAAATTTAGGCATTTTAAATATCGAACTAGTTTTATCTCTGTATCTAAAACATCTTACTAGCACACAACTCAAATAATACTCTAGTTTGCATATATGTATGTTAAAATACCTGATGAATTTATTCAGTGTGTTTATATTAGTGTCATGTAGTTAAGAATTTGTGAAAACATACCAGATTTCCTAGTCTGAGGTTTTTGTTTATTTGTTTTGAAATGGTTTTAGTGCTTAGAATGTTCTGTAGTGTCCTCTTCTATAATGTAAGTTGCTTTAAAACAATAAGAAAATATGAAAGCAGTTCTTGGGAAACTTCTATAAATAAATGTAATTTTTTTTTTCAGTATCTGAAATACAAATAATTAAGTTGTAAATTGTGCATTAAGATTTTGTTTGTCTTGGTCATATGTAAATCCTGCCTTCTGACACTTAAGCTTACAATTGTAAAATAAATGATTTCCAATGCTTGTTTAAAAAGTCCTTTTTCTTCTTCTTTTTTTTTTTTGTTTTTTTTAACTCCAAGGTTTAGGCCTCATCAGGATGCGGACCCTGAAAAGCCACGTGTTGCTGCTTTAATTGACAGGCTCATTTCTTTTAAAAATAATGACAATGGAGCTTGGGTCAGAGGGGGAGACATTGTCGTTCAGAATTCAGCGTAGGTATTCTCTACAAAGTCATTATCTGATGGCACCTATGTGTTTATTTTTTTAAGGCAATTTAAAACAACCCAGTGTGCTGAAAATACAGTGATAGTTTCTGGAATTATATTATTATTATTTTTTAAAATTTATTTACGTTTAGTAATCTCTACACTCAATGTGGGGCGGGACCTCACACCCCGAGATCAAGAGTCACCCGCTCTCCTACCTGAGCCAGCGGGCACCCCTGGAATCGTATTACTATTATTACTAACAGACGGGGTGAGCTCTGAGGAAGTGTTTGCTCGCGCTCATAGGCAGCAAATGTTTGGAATCGTTCTTTCTGTTGCTTTTATTGGAATTGAACTCATCTGGTGACACGAGAGTTTTTTGATGAGATTGAACAGGAGTTGTGGATTTAACTTTATATAACAAGTATCGTCTATGTCAGAGAGCTAAATGAGGATTTTGAAACTACCTGGATTTTTTTCCCTTCTTTTTGGAAAACTCAGAAGTTTTTCTGTTGCTCTCCCGCTGCCATTACAAATACAAGTTGTGAATTCCACCTTACTAAGTCTGTTGACTTATGGCTTAATATGACTTGAGGCAGTAAGCATCTTAATTTTTTCCCCGTTTGCATAATTTTAGAAGTCTGATGTATGTTGAGCTAAGATTTGGTGTTCAAGAGTCTAGAAAAACATGTTTTTTTTTCCGACTGGCACTGACATTAGCTTCTTGGCATTTTACTGTCACCTCTGACTTTCATCATGCAAAAAATTAGTTTTGTATTAAATCTGTAGAAATAGCTTGGGTATTAATGTTGAAAAATTGGAAGAGAATCCCATGACCTAATTGTTTTCAAAAATAGTCATAAAAATAATATAGCTCACACTTGTGTGCTGGTTACTGTGTACAGGCACTGTCCTAAAGGGTTGGCATTAATTAGTATGTTCATTGCCCTCAAGTATCCATTGAGGAAGGTTATGTTCTCGGTTCAACTTCTAGGTGAGAAAACTGAGGGAGAGTCAAGGTGAATGCCTTACCCAAGGTCATGTGGCCGGTAATCAGCAACGCTACCTGCACTGTGGAGTATGTGCTTTAAGTTATTGGGAAGTGAAACATTTTCTTGTGGTCTTGGGGAGTAAACATTATTGGAACCTCCTGGATTTTCCCAAAAATTAAATATTGAGAGAAATTATCTCTTACATGAGGTGATAAATTAAATGTTCTTTTATTCTCTTTTTTCATAGATTTGCAGATAATGGAATAGGACTGACCTTTGCCAGGTTTGTAATTGTTTTTAAAACACTTATCTGATTATTTCAAAGCTGTAAGGTAAAACAGCCCTGGTTTTGTGTGTGTGTGTGTGTGTGTGTGTGTGTGTGTGTGTGTGTGGCGGGGAGGGGTGGGTTTGATCACACATGGATTGTTCTATCATTATGTTGGCAGTTGAAAAAACAAACAAAACAGCACCCACTTCCTGATACCACTAGAGGGCCAAAATACATTTTTCTTAATTAATTGAATTCGCACCAAAGTCATAGGTTAATATAGCTGGAATTCTGTAGAAGGATTGGCCTGTCATATTTTTTTGCTTAGGAGAAAACACTTGAGAGGAAGGGAAGAAAAGTTGGGAGCATATTAAATATTTTCTTTCTTAGGGGCGCCTGGGTGGCTCAGTCGGTTAAGTTAAGTGTCCGACTTCAGCTCAGGTCATGATCTCACAGCTGGTGAGTTTGAGCCCCGCATCGGGCTCTGCACTGACAGCTCAGAGCCTGGAGCCTGCTTGAGATTCTGTATCTCCCCACCCCACCTCCTCTCAAGCATAAATAAACATTAAAAAAATATTTAAATATTTTCTTTCTTAGAACCTGGTCTAAATTTGCAGTGATCGTTAAGAACCGAACTTTTAATGTTACATATTTTTCTCCAGACAAGAGTTATTTGGGTACTGTCTTAAATATGACTGTCATCTAACTGTTAAACTCAGGGCAAGTTCATCCCCCATGTACAATACTGTGGTTGGAGACTAAAATAATCAATTGTTGCTGTTAAATGAAATGTCACCTGTTTCATGTGCAAACCATGTATTAATTTATACGAGGTATGTTCACAGCTTAGAAGGACTTTTTGATGACTTGATAATATGCATTAGAAAAAGCTCCTATCTGTTTTGCAAATTTTTAGCTTTTAAGTTATGGCGTGTCTGGATTTGAGGGCCAATTTAAATTTCCTGGAGGTGGGAGGTAACGGTTATTCTCATTTTAACAGTGATGGAAGCTTCCCCAGTGATGAAGGTTCCAGCCAGGAGGTATCCGAATCTCTCTTTGTTGGGGAGAGCAGGAATTATGGCTTTCAGGGTGGTCAGAACAAATATGTAGGCACTGGAGGAATAGACCAGAAGCCTCGGACCCTACCTAGGAACAGGTAAGCATTGCTTTAGCAGTAGACTGTTAAATTTGAGCAATAAATGAAAACCTCACCCTTATCGGAAGTTTCTGCAGTAATCCTGGGTGCATTGGTTCCCTCTGTGATGGTTTTCCCCACCTTATCTTATTATTATTATTACTATTATTATTATTATCATTATTATTATATCATTACTATTAGAACTGGGTAGACTCTGGAATTTTGGAGCATTAACTATCAAGCACTTTATAGATTTCATTATTAATTATATAACGAAGGAAACTATCTTGTTTTTCATTCCTTGCTTAAGGCCTTATATAAGCTGCTGACTTTTTTGTTTTCTTCTTTCTTGAGCCACAGAAAGTGGCCAAACTGTAAACTATGACGTTAGGTCACTCTTGCCTCAATTTGTGAGGTGGGTTTGCAGAAATAGCCACTGGAAAAAGGAAATAACTTATTGAAAAAAGTCCTAGAAAATAAGAGTTGGTAGATGCCAAAGCTGACTCAAAACCGAACCACGGCTGTGTAATTACCAGTGTTTCAGCTGTACAGAGTAGACTTTTGGCATGTTTTCTGTCAAAATAATGACAGAGTCATTAAAATAGTACTTAGCACCAGAAAGATACTTTAGAGCTTTTAGGGAACTAGTAAGTAATTAACCCATGCCTCGGTTCTGAGACCCAGTTTGGAATTGTCCTCATTTACTTGGGAGAAAAACAGAGAACAACTCATGTTCTGAAGGTCTCATGTTGGACCCGCTGCCAGAATTCATCAAGCATCAGTTCCCTTAAAGTTATACACTGTAGGTGAGCACTGGGCTAGAACGGGTCAGGGGGATGGGCCACACAGACTGCTTACTTTGAGGGGCAGCGCGGTGAGTGTTGGCAAAAGGGCTTTTACTAGCCTCTGGCAAAGAGTGAGCTTGGTTCCACTCCCCCTTTGCTTGTTGTTGGGAAATCCTGAATGCCCTTATAAGCTACGCTCTGTGTAGCCCTCCTGTTAGTCAGACTGTGGAAGCCATGAGGGAAGAAACTTCGTGGATTTTTAATAGCTAACGTTTATTAAGTGCTTGCCATGTGTCAGGCCCCGTTCTAAATACTTTATTCTTCACTTAATCCTCGCAAAGCCCAGTGAGGTAGGTACTGTCATTATCCTGCTTTATAAATGAGGAGCTTACTAAAAGTAGCTGAGGTGGGATTCAAACCCTGTTAGTCTGCCTTCATCGCTGTGATGTGCCTGTCAAGATTGGGCTGTAGCTGTCTCTTCTGATGCGTAACGAAAAATAGCTGTATATTGGCTAGCGTTTGGCTACAGTATGATGGTGCCCAATTCCATTCTTTTCACTTGACATTGGCCTCTCGTGTTTTTCTTTTTCTTTTTTCTCTCTCTTTTTCTTTTTGCTTTTTCTTTTTTGAGAGAGAGCGCACACTCATGGGTGGGGGAGGGGGCAAAGGAAGGAGAGGGGCAGAGAGAATCTTAAGCAGGCCCCACCACCAGCGTGGAGCCCGCCATGGAACTCGATCTCACAACTGTGAGATCATGAGCAAAGCCAAAATCGAGAGTTGGACGCTCAATCGACTGAGCCACCCAGGTGCCACCCCCTCCATTTTTCTTTTTTAATTGAAGTATAGTTGACATACAATATTATGTTAGTTTCAGGTGTACAAAATTTTGATTCGATGTGGCCTTCAGATTTGTTTCAAAATTCTTATCGCTTCTTCAGGAAGGAAGATTTTCAAAAACAAAGAGTCCTCCTTGGTCAGTGGATCCAGTGTTTATTTTACTGTATCTTTACAACTTTTTCTATGAGAGAGAGCCATTTTGGATATATCCTTAGACGTTCATCAAGGTGCATAGATTTTTAAGCAGGCTACTTCACTTTCTTGCTGGCATGTACGTTTTCACTGCAAAACACTGCCAAGTTGTAAACTGATGTTGCTGTAGGAATCCTCTGCAGTGCCGTTAAAGAATTTAACAGGGGGAGAAACCTAAGGGATCCAGAATATTATGGGTTTTGTACCTTAATTATGATTAATGATATATGATTAGTAGGTTAAGGAGTTTGTGTTTGAACAGAAAGGAGGAAAATGAATAAACCAAATTTCTCAATCCAGCCAACCCCTTTGACATAGTAAGCCTTGAGGATTTACACTTTTATGCTTTTAAGTGTATCATTTCATCTTATTACTATCATTTAGTGGCTTGAAAGGAGGTTCTCTCTGTGAAAGCACAGATTGGTCTTTTATTCTCCTGCCAGAGATTTTGGAACCAAAACCGAAGTATAGGAGTTCCCAAATAAAAGGTCTTGACTGAGTTGATTCAAGGAAGCAAAAATCACCTCTTCAGAGAGGCCTCCGTTCTGTCCAAAACAGCGTCTCTCTTCTACCCAACCTATTGTATTACCATGTCTCTGCCTGCACAACACTCACTGCCTGAAATTATCCTTGTTTTTCTGTTTGCCTTTTCCACCGTTTTGCTCGGGGATTTTGTCATGGTACCGCTGTATCCTAGAATTGTGCTTAGCGTGTATGAGATATTCAACAGTGTTTATAAAACAAACTTGTAAGTGACGTGCCGGTGCAGGGATGGGCCCATGCACACTAAACACAATCTTGTATTTCAACAGGACGTTCCCAATTAGAGGCTTTCAGATTTACGACGGGCCCATTCATCTAACCAGGTGCACTTTCAAAAAATATGTGCCAACTCCAGATAGGTACACCAGTGCTATCGGCTTCCTTGTGAAGAATCCCTGGCAGATAACTCCCAGGAATAACATCTCGCTCGTGAAGTTTGGTCCACACGTAAGTATGTTCTTACGGTACCTATGTGGTGACCATGACAGGAGCAAGAGGGGTAGCACATCCCCAGAGACAAACACACGAACCAAGTGTTCGTACTCAGTCTTTACAGCTGGGAGGAGAAGTACGTGCAAAAGAGATTCCTCATTCCATGCACGCTGTCCCGTTGAGTTCAAGGTGAGAACAGAAATCCCATGTGACCAGGGGTATTTTTGACATTCAAGTGATATCTCGAAAGGGACAGTGTCTTAAAGTGACAGCACGGGACTGAGGATGGTAGAGTTTCATAGGAACCAGAGGACATAGGATTTGGGGAAGTTCATTGTGATAATCTGTGAAGTGATTTGAGTTCTGCCTGGTATTCTACTTGTCTGGGGCTTATTCTTTTGGGGAAACAGGACAAAAGGATGGGGAAGAAGAGGAGTCCTGGGGTGGTATAAAGCAAATATGGATAAAAACTGTCGGAAGGTTTTTACAAAGACTGCAAAGAAGACTGAGAAATCATTGTTTACAGTACAGTGGCCCACAGGAATCATTTGTTTTCTTAGTAGTTTCATCGGTGACCCCTGTACCAATAGTACACAGGACAGTAAGGTTACATACCTCTCCCTCCACCATCTTGCCAGTTCCAAAATGACCTTGGTACGTGGAGATTGAGTCTCAGACCATCTCGCTCGCCGCTTCCACAGGCGGCCACGACTGGGAAGAGGCTCATGCCTCTCTCATTCACGTCCATGGGCTGACTCTGTGGTAGCCTAGTTTAAAATAGAACATGAGATAGTTTACCAAAGCCTGTATCTGGTTTTCCAGAATGGCTGAGGCAGGAAACAGAGGCACAGGTGCAAATTGGGATGCCAGCTTGGTTGGCTGGCTCTCTTTTCGGCCGCATGACTACAGGGGAAGAGGGAGGGCGACCCTAGCAGGCAGCTTCCCACGTGAATAAATAGGATGGTCTTTGGAGCAGCTCTCCAGTGTGGAGGCCGGTGTTCACCTGCTGTGCACACAGACCTCCATACATGGAGCTGCAGTGACGATGACACAGTCGTTCTGAGAAGCAGTTCATCAGGTGTTGTGTTGGTTGTGGAGTTCCGACTTCTAACATCCCTGCCGTGCAAACGCGGTGGTCATCATCCAGGAGGTCCGATGGTGCTCACGCCCTGGGAACAGCTTGTAAAGGGAATGGTTTGCCACATTTGTGCTCCCTGAAAAGTGGGAAACATGCCCAGACTTCTCTTAGGTTTAACAACAGGATGTACAAGGGAAATGAGAAAAAAAGCCTGCGACTAAGAACCTAGAGCCAGCCACGTGTCCCAGACATCAGTGATTTTTCATTGAATTGCTTATCATTTAGACGTTCAGTTTGACTTTAAATCATCTGAGCATGATGGGGCACCTGGGTGACTCAGTCAGTTAAGTGTCTGACTTTGGCTCAGGTCATGATCTCAGGGTTGGTGAATTCGAGCCCCCATATCGGGCTTGCTGCTGTCAGTGTAGAGCCTGCTTTGGATCCTCTCTCTCTACTCCTACCCTGCTTGTCCTCTCTCTCTCTCTCAAAAAAAAAAAAAAAAAAAAAAAAAAAAAAAGGTGTGTCTGCACCCCTTGAATAGTACAAATAATTTACCACTAATAAGAAGCAGCTAAAGACTACAAAACATGTAATCTGCAGCCTGCTTCGCAGTTGTGTACTCCATGTTTAATAAAAGCTTTAAATTAACTCTACCTGATATAAAAATTACTGAGCTGGGTTTGGTCTATGTTGACGAGAAAGTAACATACACTTTCTAGCAGATTCGAGTGAGTTCAGTGGTCACCCAGCATACCAAGGCAACACTTGGCCTGTGTTTTGATTTGGAATTGTATGTGTTTTTTGGTGGGGGGGGTGGGGTAAGGAGTCAAATGAACAAGCAGCTAAAGCATTTGGAGTGAAATAAAATGACGAACTAACTCAGAAGATAGAATTTATAACAGACTTTATTTAATCAAGGTGTAATTTGCATACAGGGACATGCACACATCCTAAGTGTCAGGTTTATAATTTTTAACAAATATGCATGGCTCCATATTTCCCTTCCCCACAACTGTTCTGATTCTCTTACCATAGGTTAGTTTTGTCTGGAGAGCAGGTCATAGTTTTTAAGTGGAAGATAAAGGGAAACACCAGCTATATTTTTAACATTTGCCACTTGAACTCCACAAGGCTTT